GTTGGACCAGGCTTGCATCTTGTTCCAAACATTTCGTAGGCCACTCTAATTCTTATCTGTTAGAATTCTCTTTATTAGCTTCACATCATCTGCACACTAAGGACATCTATGAATCTCTCCATCACATCATATCATTCACGCATGCCAGAAATAGTTCCGGCCCATGGACTGACATTTGTGAAACTCAGCTCGTCACAGGCACCCACTCGGACACCAAGTCAAGTATTGTCAATCATTATTTCTTTTCTGTTATTTATTCTCTGATCCACTGCTGTACTTTTTCTCTTATTCCTCCCTGCTCTATTATCTTTTGCATTAGTCTTTGTGCGGAACTGTGTCAAAAGCCTTTTTACAGTGCAAAAAAATGCAGTCTACCCACCGCTCTCTCTCTCTCCTGTGTTATTTCTGTCGCCCAGGGGTAAAAGTCCAGTAAGTTTGTGACAGAATTTCCCTTCCCTGAAACCATGCTGGTTATCTTGGATAACCACATTCCTTTTTAGGTGCTCCATCACTCTTTTCCTGATAATCTTGTCCATGACTTTGCAAATTATACATGTCAATGACACTGGTCTGTAGCTAAACGGTACATGTCTGCCTTCTTTCTTAAAAACTGGGACTGTATATGCTATCTTCTCCTCAGGTTGTTGCCCTATTTCGACAGATATGTTGAAGATTGTTGTTTGTGGCACACACAGTGCCTCTGATTTCTCTTTCAGGACCCACAGAGATATGTCCGGTTCCAACGCATTTGAGGTATCAAGTTCATTCAGCAACCATTTCACCTCCTCCTAGGTCGTGTGTAGTGTGTCCAGCACTTGCTGGTGTACCCAGTTTGCTTTAATCCTTTCTGTCTCTACTAAAAATACTTCCTTTAATCTTGTGTTAAGCTCTTAATATAATTTTTGGTTGTTATTGTCATCTCTCCTCCTTCCTTCCTCAGAATGAATTCCTGGTCCTTGACTGTTGTTTTTCTCTTGATGCGACTGTATACAACAGCTTTGGGTCAGATTTGTCTTTGGATGCTATGTCATTTTCGTGTTGCTGATGGACATCAATCTTTATCCATGTATACCTGTTTCTGACTCTTCTACTAGTGTCTTTATTTTCCTGGGTCCTTTGTCTTCTATACATTTTCCATTCTCTAGTAAACTTTGTTATGGCCTCTGAACATCACTGGGTGAAGGAAAGCCTCGTTCTGGTCTTCCCATTGTTTCCATTGCCCTTAGATACGAACCTCTCCTCTTCCTCCTTGCATTTTTGGTCAAATACTATATTTTCCACCAGTTCTTTTTCCACTGTACCTCATGTAGGAAATTTCTGCTGCTGGCTTCTCCCAACCTACTTGTGGTGGTTACCTCTTCACTTTTAGCTTTATTTATGTGTGCGTGTGCGTGAGTCTGAGTGTACTCACCTAATTGTAATTGCAGGGCTCGATTCATAGCTCCTTGTCCTGCCTCTTTACTGTTCACACTCTATGACCTTCATCATACCTCTTCTTAAAGCTATGTATGGATCCTGCATCTGCTACATCACTCTCCTGACAACTCCATGACTGAAGAAATACTTCCCAATATCCCTGTGACTCATCTGAGTCGTCAGCTTCCAACTGAGACCCCTTAATGCTGTGTCTTATCTCTGGAACATCCTGTCTCTGTCGACCTTCTCAATTCCTCTCTTTATTTTATGATGCTATCATGTCCCCTCTATCTCTCCTGTCCTCCAGTGTCGCCAGGTTGATTTCCCTTAACCTCTCCTCGTAGGACATGCCCCTTAGCTCCGGGATTAGTCTCGTTGCAATCTCTAATTTCTTGACGAGCTTGATTAGGTGCAGGTTCCAAACTGGAGCTGCATACGCCAGTATGGGCCTGACGTACAGAGTGTATGTATTCGCCTAATTGTGGTTGCAGGGGTCAAGTCAAAGCTCCCCTAGCCCCGCCTCTTCACTGGTTGTTTCTAAGTCACTCATTCTGCTCCATGAACTTTATCATACCTCTTCATAAAGCAATGTATGGATCCTACCTCAACTACATCACTTCCCAGACTATTCCACTTCCTGACAACTCTGTGACTGAAGAAATATTTCTTAACATCCCTATGGCTCATCTGAGCCTTCTACTTACAACTGTGACCCCTTGTTGCTTTGTCCCATCTCTGGAACATCCAGTCTATATCGACCTTTTCGATTCCTCTCAGTATCTTATATGTCATTATCATATCCCCCTATCTCTTATGTCCTCCACTGTCACGTCGATTTCCCTTAACGTCTCCTCATAGGTCATGCTCCTTAGCTCCGGGGCTAGTCTTGTTGTAAACCTTTGAATACTCTCTAGCTTCCGTATGTGTTGGGTAGGTGTGGGTTCCAAACTGGTGCCGCATACTCCAATATGGGCCTAACGTACACGGTGTACAGGGTCCTAAACTACTCCTTATTAAGATGTCGGAATGTTGTTCTGAGGTTTGCTAGGCGCCCATATGCTGCAGCAGTTATTTGGTTGATTTGCGCTTCAGGAGAAGTGTTCGGTGTTATACTCACCCCAAGATCCTTTTCCTTGAGTGATGTTTGCAGTCTCTGGCCTCGTAACTGTGCTCCGTCTGCGGTTTTTTTTACACTTCCCCAACCTTCATGACTTTACACTTGGTGATGTTGAACTTCAGAAGCCAGTGGCTGGACCAGGTTTGCAGCCTGCCCAGTTCTGCCTGGTCCTCGTTCGATTGAATTCTTTTCATCAACTTCACATTATCAGCAAATAGGGATACTTATGAGTCTATTCCTTCCTTCATGTTTTTCACAAATACCAGAAACAGCATCAGGCCTAGGACTGACCCCTGTGGAACCCCGCTCATCACAGGCACCCACTCTGACACCTCACCATGTACTATGACTCGCTGATGTCTTCCTGACAGTTATTTCCTGATACACTGCAGTGCCCTCAAGCCTTTGCACTAGTCTCTTGTGTGGAACTGTGTAAAACGCCTTCTTACAGTGCAAGAAAATACAGTCTACCCTCCCCTCTCTCTTTTGTCTTACTTCTGTCACCATGTCATAGAACTCTAGTAGGTTTGTGACACAGGATTTCCCGTCCCTGATACCATGCTGACTGCAGTGTGTTAGATCATTCCTTAGTAGGTATGTCTCCTTTTTTTAAAAAATTGGGACTACATTGGCAGTCCTCCATACCTCAGGTAGTCGCTCTGTTCCGATAGATATGTTGAAGATTGTTGTTAGTGGTAAACATAGCACCTCTGCTCATTCAGCACCCATGGAGAGATGAGGTATCTAGCTCGCTTAGCAGCCTGTTCACTTCCTCCTTGGTTGTATGTATTCTGTCCAGCACTAGATGGTGTACCCCACCTCTCCGTCTTTCTGGAGTCCCTTCTGTGAACACTTCTTTGAATCTCATGTTGAGCTACTCACATACTTCACGGTCATTTCGTGTGATTTTTCCTCCTTCCATCCTCATCCTGATTACCTGGTCCTTGAATGTTTTCCTCTTCGGGTCAGATTTGATTTTGCTGCTAAGTCATTTTTGTATTGTCGTTGGGCCTCCCTTCCTACCTGTGCATATTCACTTCTTGCTCTACAACTGCTCTACTTTTTTCTCCTTGATCTTTTGCTTTCTATTCTTCTTCCAATATCTAGCACACTTGGTTTTGGTCACTCTACACCTTTGGGTGAACCAAGGGCTAATCCTGATTTTCTCATTATTTCTGTTACTGTTGGGTAAAACCTCTCCTCAGCTTCCTTGCATATTGTTATCACATATTCCATCATCTCGTTTACTGACTTCCCTGCCAGTTCCCTGCACACTTCGTGAATGTGTAATCCTCTCTCTTGTAGTTTGGCTTCATTCATCCTGCCCTTCCTGCTTCCCTCTCGACTTGTAAATCTACTATATATTCGAAGGTCAGAACCATGTAATCACTGGACCCGAGGGGTTTTTCATATGTGATGTCCTCAATATCTGCACTACTCAAGGTGAATACTAGGTCAAGTCTTGCTGGTTCATCCACTTCTCTCTCTCTTGTAGTGTCCCTTACGTGCTGGTACATGAGGCTTTCCAATACCACCTCCATCATCTTAGCCCTCCACTTTTCTGGGCCCCTATGTGGCTCAAGGTTCTCCCAGTCGATTTCCTTATGGTTTAACTCACCCATAATCAGCAGTTTTGCCCTGCTCGCATGAGCCCTTCTCACCACTTCACCCAGTGTGTCAACCATCACTCTATTGCTCTCGTCATAATTGTGTGTGTGTGTGTGTGTGTGTACTCACCTAGTTGAGTACTCACCTAGTTGAGGTTGCGGGGGTCGAGTCCGAGCTCCTGGCCCCGCCTCTTCACTGATCGCTACTAGGTCACTCTCCCTGAGCCGTGAGCTTTATCATACCTCTGCTTAAAGCTATGTATGGATCCTGCCTCCACTACATCGCTTCCCAAACTATTCCACTTACTGACTACTCTGTGGCTGAAGAAATACTTCCTAACATCCCTGTGATTCATCTGTGTCTTCAGCTTCCAACTGTGTCCCCTTGTTACTGTGTCCAATCTCTGGAACATCCTGTCTTTGTCCACCTTGTCAATTCCTCTCAGTATTTTGTATGTCGTTATCATGTCCCCCCTATCTCTCCTGTCCTCCAGTGTCGTCAGGTTGATTTCCCTTAACCTCTCCTCGTAGGACATACCTCTTAGCTCTGGGACTAGTCTTGTTGCAAACCTTTGCACTTTCTCTAGTTTCTTCACGTGCTTGGCTAGGTGTGTGTGTGTGTGTGTGTGTTAATTATTATTATGATTATAATCAAGGGGGAAGCGCTAAACCCGGAGGATTATACAGCGCCTGGGGGGGGATGTGGAAGGCATTCAGGCTTAATTCGGGGAACTGGAGCACAGATCCAATTCCCTAAATCAAGAGCCCCTCACCAACATCAAGGAACCTTCCTTGAGGGGTGTGTATGTGTTAAGAAATGCTTTGAGGTTGTCAAGGTAAAGAATAAGAAATTTGTTACAAATATTCCATACAATTTATTTAAGCTCTTTAACAGTTTAGAAAACAATAAATCAATGTAAATTAGCAACTGGAACATTTATCGTCGTCCGTTGATGATAGGATTCACATTGTTGTGGGTTAATTTTAGCCATGTGTGTTACTGGGGATTGGCGTTATTACAAGATTGACGCCTTCATCTGGTCTCATAAATAACAGAGAATTATCCATCTTCAGCTCCGTGTGGTTCTTGTCAAGATGCATTTCTGCTGCTATCAGAAGCTTAGCAAGAGCCACCTTGGCCTCCATCAGTGCAAAACGCATAGCTAATAAAAGAAATCAAAATTATATGAGAGGGATAATGTGAATCTTAGATTACTTTTATCATAAATTTCAGAAAGATTTTGTTAACACACACACACACACACACACACACATGGAGAAGATCATCAGGAGGAGAGTGGTGGAGCACCTGGAAAGAAACAAGTGTATAATTGACAACCAGCACGGTTTCAGGGAAGGAAAATCCTGAGTCACAGACCTACTAGAGTTTTATGACAAGGTGACAGAAGACAAGAGAGAGAGGGGTGGATCGACTGCATATTTTTGGACTGCAAGAAGGCCTTCGACACAGTTCCTCACAAGAGGTTACTGCAAAAGCTAGAGGATCAGGCACACATAACAGGAAAGGCACTGCAATGGATCAGAGAATACCTGACAGGGAGGCATCAACGAGTCATGGTACGCGACGAGGTGTCAGAGTGGGCGCTTGTGACAAGCGGGGTTCCACAGGGGTCAGTCCTAGAACCTGTGCTGTTCTTGGTATATGTGAACGACATAACGGAAGGGATAGACTCAGAAGTGTCCTTGTTTGCAGATGATGCGAAGTTAATGAGAAGAATCAAATCGGATGAGGATAAGGCAGGACTACAAAGAGACCTGGACAGGCTACAAGCTGGTCCAGCAACTGGCTCCTTGAATTTAACCCTGCCAAATGCAAAGTCATGAAGATTGGGGAAGGACAAAGAAGACCACAGACACAATATAGTTTAGATGGCCAAAGACTGCAAACCTCACTCAAGGAAAAAGATCTGGGGGTGAGTATAACACCGAGCATATCTCCTGAGGTGCACATCAATCAGGTAACTGCTGCAGCATACGGGCTCCTGGCAAACCTACGGATAGCGTTCCGATACCTCAGTAAGGATTCGTTTAAGACTCTGTATACCATTTACGTCAGGCCCATACTGGAGTATGCAACACCAGTTTGGAATCCACACCTAGTCAAGCACGTCAAGAAATTAGAGAAAGTGCAAAGGTTTGCAACAAGACTAGTCCCAGAGCTACAGGGATTGTCCTACGAAGAAAGGTTGAGGGAAATCGGCCTGACGACACTGGAGGACAGGAGGGTCAGGGGAGACATGATAACGACATATAAAATACTGCGCGGAATAGACAAGGTGGACAAAGACAGGATGTTCCAGAGAAGGGACAGAGACACAAGAGGTCACAATTGGAAGTTGAAGACTCAGATGAATCAAAGGGATGTTTGGAAGTATTTCTTCAGTCATAGAGTAGTCAGGCTGTGGAACAGCCTAGAAAGTGACGTAGTGGAGGCGGGAACCATGCATAGTTTTAAGGCGAGGTATGATAGAGCTCATGGGGCAGGGAGAGAGAGGACCTAGTAGCAATCAGCGAAGAGGCGGGGCCAGGAGCTGTGACTCGACCCCTGCAACCACAAATAGGTGAGTACAAATAGGTGAGTACACACACACACACACACACGACCAAGAGGTATGTGAGGAGCTCAACAAAAGATTTAAAGATGTATTCACAGTGGAGACATGAAGGACTCCAGGAATTCAAAAAATGGAGGTACACCAAAAAGTGCTGGATGAAATGCACACAACTGAAGAGGTGAAAAAGGTGCTACATAAACTTGATACATCAAAGGTGGTGGGAACAGACAACGTCTCTCCGTGGGTCCTTAGAGAGGGAGCAGAGATGCCATTTGTGCCACTAACAAAAATCTTCAGCATATCTATTGAAATTTGGCAACTACCTGAGGTATGGAAGATGGTAAATGTAGTCCCAATTTTTAAGAAAGGAGACAGACATGAGGCATTAAACTACAGACCTGTGTCACTGACTTGTATAGTATGCAAAGTCATGAAGATCATTAGGAGGAGAGTGGTGGAGCACCTAGGAAGACACAGGTTTATAAAGGGCAACCAGCACAGCTTCAGGGAAGGAAAATTCTGTGTCACAAACCTACTGGAGTTTTATGACAAGGTAACAGAAGTAAGACACAAGAGAATGGGGTGGATAAGCTGCCTTTTCTTGTACTGCAAGAAGGCCTTCGACACAGCTCCTCACAAGAGGTTACTGCGAAACCTAGAAGATCAGGCATACATAACAGGAAATGCACTACAGTGGGTCAGAGAATATCTCACAGGGAGGCAACAACGAGTCATGGTACGTGACGAGGTGTCAGAGTGGGCGCTTGTGGCAAACGGGGTTCCACAGGGGTCAGTCCAAGGACCTGTGCTGCTTTTGGTATATGTGAATAACATAACGGAAGGGATAGACTCAAAAGTGTTCCTGTTTGCAGATGATGCAAAGTTAATGAGAAGAATTAAATCGATCGAGGATCAGGCAGGACTACAAAGAGACCTGGACAGACAACAAGCCTGGTCCAGCAACTGGCTCCTTGAATTTAACCCCGCCAAATGCAAAGTCATGAAGATCAGGGAATGGCAAAGAAGATCGAAGACAGAGTATTGTCGAGGTGGCCAAAGACTGCAAACCTCACTCAAGGAAAAAGATCTTTGAGTGAATATAATACCGAACACGTCTCCTGAGGCGCATATCAATCAGGTAACTGCTGCAGCATATGGGCATCAGGCAAACCTAATAATAGCATTCCAAGGAATCGTTCAAACCTCTGTACACCATATACGTCAGCCTCATATTGGAGAATGCAGCACCAGTTTGGAATCCACACCTGGTGAAGCTCGTCAAGAAATTAGAGAAAGTGTCAAGGTTTGCAACAAGACTAGTCCCAGAGCTAAGGGGATTTTCCTATGAAGAAAGGTTAAGGGAAATCGGCCTGAAGACACTGGAGGACAGGAGGGTCAGGGGAGACATGATAACGACATATAAAATTCTGTGAGGAATTGACAAGGTGGACAAAGACAGGATGTTCCAAAGATGGGACACAGAAACAAAGGGTCACAGTTGGAATTTGAAGACTCCTATGAGTCAAAGGGATGTTAGGAAGCATTTCTTCAGTCTTAGAGTTGTCAGAAAGTGGAATAGCCTAGAAAGTGACGTAGTGGAAGCAGGAATTATACATAGTTTTAAGATGAGGTTTGATAAAGCTCATTGAGCAGGGAGAGGACCTAGAAGCAATCAGTAAAGAGGCAGGACCATGAGCTATGACTCGTCCCCTGCAACAACAAATATGCGAGTAAAAACAGGTGAGTACACACACACATGCACAGGATAAATAGCAGGATAAAAAATATTCGGATTTCGAGAGGGAGGAAGCAAAGGCAAGGAAGCAAGGATGCCTGGTCTAAAAAGGAAGAACTGAAGGAGGGAGGTATTTGTGGGAAAAAAATCGCCCAGTCTAATTGATATTCAAGACTGTAGTGGTATGGAACAGGATGCTATAAGAGAAACCATTGTTACAGAACTCCCAAGAATATAAATTAGTGTATCTAGACTGCAACAGAACACAAAATAATGGGAACAACCAAGAGTGTGAGTAAGAAGATACCAGTGAATAGAAAGAGACAGGGCAGGCATCAGCTACTCAGTCTCAGGGAGAGCAAAAAACACAAATGATCAACCCTTACTGCCCCCCATACCAACCAAGCACAATAACCAGAATCAAACCACACTACACAGCCCCCCCAGCACTAATATCACCATCACAGCAGCCTTTCATAATATCCTGCTCTATTTTCCACACCCCTAATCTGCACCAACTCATCTCTTCTCCCAAAATACGGTAATGGAAAGGAAGCTTAAGGTATGGTTCACAAATGTTGATGGAATCACAAATATGACTGAGGAGTGGTAAGGACGAATCATTGAGGCATCTCTAGACATCATAGCGCTCACGAAGACAGAGGTCGAGAGGATGATAACAAGTACGATCTTTCCAAATGGACATCAGATCTTGAGGAAAGACTGAGGGAAGGGAGGGAGCATTGTTCATTAAAAATCAGTGGAGTTTTGAGGAAATGGGAGGATTGGATAGACGGGAATCAGATTACTCCATAGTAGGAAGGCTTCAGATCGTGAATCCAAAAGTGATGATATCACTGATGTACAAAACACCACTGATCGGCAAAAAAACAAAAAAATAAAGTACTATGAGAGCAACAGAGCAATGATGAGTGCACCAGCCGAGGTGACTAGAAGGGCCCACATGAGTATGACAAACTTGCTCATCATGGTGGTTTTCAATCACATGACTGACTGGGAAAACCTAGATCCACATGGGGAACCAGAAACATGGAGGGCAAAGATGCTGGAGACAGTATTGCAAAACTATATGCACCAATATGTTAGGGATACAACCAGAAAGAGAGAAGAGGATGCCCCATCGAGGCTGGACATCGTATTCACCTCAAACTGTTTAAATATAGGGGATCTTGCACATGAAAGGCTCCTTGATGCTAGTGACCATGTGATCCTGAGTTTCGAATACGTTGTAGAGTTAAAAGTTGAGAATGAAGCAGCACAAGAAGGATGAGAGAAGCCAGACTTCAAAAAAGAGGACTACACAGGCTTGAGACGATTCCTACATGAGGTGCAGTGGGAAAGAAATCTAGAGGGAAAGACAGTCAAATAAATGATGGAACAAGTGACCACAAAGTGGAGGAAGGCAGAGGAGAGGTTCATACCAAGGGGTGTCAGAAAAAACAGAAAGACTATAGTGAGCCCATGGTTTACCTGGAGGTGTAAAGAGGCCAATGCCAAGTGTGCTAGAGCATGGACCAATGTGTAGAAGGAAAAGGACTCAAGACAACAAGGAGTTGAGCAGAACCAGAAACGAATATGCATGGATAAGAAGAGAAGCCCAGTGGCAATATGAGAATGGCATAGCACATAAACGCAAATCTGACCCAAAGTTGCTATTGTTACATCAGAAGTAAAATAACAGTCTAGGACCAGGTAATCAGGCTGAGGAAGGAAAGAGGAGAGTTTACAAAGAGTGACAAGGAAGTATGTGAAGAGCTTAACGCAAGATTTAGAGAAGCATTCACGGTGGAGACAATTGCTTCCAGCAGACCAAGGTAGTAGGGTGCACCAG